GCTCGAAGGTTAAAAGTTAAAACACAATCCGCGCACGGGCTTGTCCTGAACCCGTCAGAACTGCCTGCCGTGGGCCCAAGCAGGGGGTTTAGGGGGAGTGTTTAGGGTTTAGGGTTTAGGGCTTAGGGCTCAGGGTCTAGGGATTCAAAGCCACCACATGAACCGTAAAACTGGGATCCAGCCCTAAACCCTAAACCCTAAAGACCCGAGACCCTCTCGGGTGCATTTCGTCCCCACTTCCACGGTTTTAAGGCATTGCCTTGTCATATGATCCCCAAGAGGGACGAGGGACTACAACTTTGAAGAAATCACCAGGTAGCGTTTAGGGTTTAGGGTTTGGGGTGTGGGGTTTAGGTTTAGGGCTCAAGGTTTAGGGCTTAGGGTAAAGGAGTTCCAAAAGGCCTTAAACCCGCGAGGCGCGTTCAGCAGTTTTGAAGGTTCTGGGCTCTGAGAACGAGTGGTAACCCGAGCCCGCCCGAACGAATGCTTCAAACACGGCCGTTAAAAAGGAAAGATGCTGCGACTGCAGTGCCAGACCGAAGTAGCAGGAACAGTCCTGCTGCGCCTGCTGCGAGCTCGAAGTCTTGATCCGCTAAACCCTGAACCCGTAAATGAGAGTAGGGTTTTGGGGGTTATTCTAGTATAACTACAAAGGGACCCTTAAAACAAATGATTACGAGTTACTCCGACCCCTATATCAAAAACCCTGATTCCCTGAGCTCAGCTGCGGCAAAGATGTCGCGCATGACAAGCACAGGCACAGCGCCCCGCTCGAATTGAAAAAGGTTCGGGGTTCGGCTGTTTTGGGAAATGTGTTCGGGGCTTGCTGTATGCAAAGGGGCTGTAGCCACACTCACAGGCTAGCGGGTCCCCGCCAAGGGACGAAGCATAGGGCGCCTCTACATCCCAAAACCCAAAACCCAAAACCCTAAACCCTAAACCCTAACCCAAAACCCAAAACCCTAAACCCTAAACCCTACACCCTCAGGTCTGGGCTCTATTTCCCCTAGGAGGGCTTGAGAATGGCGGCCCAATTCTATGCAAGTCTGGTGGGACACCCTAACCCTAAACCCTAAACCCCAAACCCTAAACCCTAAATAAAGCCTAAAGCCTAAACCCAGAACCCTAACTGCTAAGCGGGTAAGCCGTATGTGTATAGAGACCTGCTACCCTATACGTACACGAAAAAGGGTATAAATATCATATCACTTAAAGCAAAGCATATATATATATATACACATTTTGATATATATATATATATATACACATATACATATACATATACATATACATATACATATACATATACATGTAGATACAAAGCACGAGGCATACCAGCATACCCTAAGCGTCATTCTAATAGCCGTATCGCCTAGACCCTAAAACCCTCATCCCATGCACGCTCAACCCCATAAGCGCTAAACCCTAAACCCCAAGACCTTGGCCCACAAACCCTGAAGCCTAATTACCCTAAACCCTACGCCAGCCCTTATCCCATAAAACCCTAAACCCATAACCATAAACCCTGAACCCTCAGCACACGAACCCTAAGCCCAAAACCCCCTAAGCCCTAAGCCGTCATGCCAAAAACCCTCAACCCCCCACCCCCCCGCCCGCCTCAAAACCCTAAACCCTAAACCCGAAGCCCCGAACCCTAAACCCTAAACCCCAAACCCTAAAACCCTCTGAAAATGCTGTAATTAGGCATCTTGTGACTGGCATCGTTCCCTTGGTATTTTCACATCTGCACCGCTACTTGAGGCGCCTGGAGGACGAGTGCGGGTAGGGTTGACACAGTTTGGGGCTCAGGGTTTAGGGTTTAGGGTTTAGGGTTTAGGGTTTAGGGTTTAGGGTTTGGGGTTTAGGGTTTGGGGTTTGGGGTTCAGGGTTTAGGGTTTAGGGTTCTAGGAGTTCCCACAGGGGCTTCGGCCTCGGGGTACAGAGGACATGTGGGGTTTAGGGTTCAGGGCTTAGGGCTCAGCCCTAAACCCTAAACCCCCCAAACCCTTTAGGTTTAGGGTTTTAGGGTCTCCTTTGAGAGTTCACACCTCCGGCCTCCGGCGCTTGCAGCGGCTGAAATGAATTTCTACATGGGCAGTACCCAACATTTAGGGTCCCTTTGACGGGGAGTTCCAAAATCAAAAATCCAAACCTCTTGGGTTTAGGGTTTAGGGTTTAGGGTTTAGGGTTTGAGGGTTGAGGGTTTAGGGTTTAGGGTTTGAGGGTTTAGGACTTAGGGTTTCTTAGCTGTCCGGTACCCTAAGGGGGCCCAAAGGTTGACCTTTGGGAATACAAGGGGATTTTATGACCCCAAAAAGGTTGAAGGTTCCCTGCTCTCACAACTAAGGTTTAGGGTTTAGGGTTTAGGGTTTAGGGTTTAGGGTTTAGGGTTTAGGGTTTAGGGTTTACTAAGGTTTAGCGGTAAATTCTAAACCTCTTGGGTTTTAGATCAACCCCCTTCGACAGGGACCCGACGCTGGGGGAAGCTGCCACATCGACTAAAGCTATGCAAAGTTTGTTGAAAGTTGAAACAAGAGCAACAGCCAGTAGCTGCCGCGGCTCTGCCTAGGAGCTCTGTAACTACTACTTGCTTAAGAACCCACCCCCACTCCTCCCCCCCCCACCCCGCCCAAAAAAAAAATCCCTGTCTTACCCTTGTAATTCAGGAAGAATGTGCTTTTGGTGTTTGTTAAAGCAATTCGTAGGCAAATGCTTGGTTGCACTCCGGGGCAGGCCCATGAGGATCTAATCTTACAGCAAGGAGCCACAGCGAGCGTTCTGCTGGAAATGTGGGCAATTAAGGGCCGTCGCGCTTTAGCTCAAAGCTTGGGGTTCAGGGCTCCGGTTTCTGTTTCTTGCTTCTTTTGTTTTGTTCAATTTTGTCTGTGTCTGTGTGTTCTTGCAAGTCTTGTGTGGCTATATGTGGCCAGGGTATGTATCAAGTCCTGGTGTTGAGGGCGACGAGCAGGCGTTTAGGGCTTAGAGCCTGTAGAAGATCTACAGCTACGGGCTGTGTGCGAACTCAGGAACTAAAACCCCATGCGGGGCACCATTTGGTGAACCAGCCCTATCGCAAGGGGTAAGGTGATGGTCGTTGGACGCATTGTTAGAGGTAACCCCCTTCTAGAAGCCCAAACCCGAAGCCCGAAACCCTAAACCTAAACCCTAAACCCTAAACCTAAACCCTAAACCCCAAAACCCTAAACCCCAAACACTAGACCCTAAACCCTAAACCCTAACTCCTAACTTTCAACCTAAGCAGGCGGCGGATTTGCGGGCGCTCTTCAGAAACACCGTCTGGGCCAGGAGAGTGGTCCGCTATACAGACCTCTGGACAGTCTGAGTTTAGGGTTTCGGCTTTAGGGTTTAGGGTTTAGGGCTTAGGGTTTAGGGTTTAGGGTTTAGGGTTTAGGGTGCAGGCCACATGGGCAGCCCTAAACCCGGGTACCCAAAACTCTAGAAAACTCTAGAAACCCTAAACCCAAACCTCCAGAAACCCTCGACTCGGGATGTTCCCCCGTTTACTAACAGTCATGAATAGGATGATCATGCCCCCTATTATCGCTAGTAAGGACTTACAACCCTAAACCCTAAACCCTAAACCCTACAACCCTTAACCCTAAACTCCAGAAACCCGAACCCTAAACTCTGAACAAGCCCTAAACCCTAAACCACTGCCTGGGGTCCAAAAACCGTTACCCTTTGTCCAGGCTGCTTGGAAACCTAATGAACCCTAAACCCTAAACCCTATATAAACCCTAAACCCTAAACCCTAGACCCTAAACCACTGCCTGGGGTTCAGGAGTGTAGGGCTTTAGGCTGCCTTTCAGGCTCACAAAGAATATCAAGGGTTCCCCCTACTCGGTGCCGCATGTTCGGTTGCCACGGCCATAGGGTTTAGGGTGTGGTTTAGGGTTTAGGGTTTAGGGTTTAGGGTCTAGGGTCTAGGGTCTAGGGCCGCCTGGGCCACCTGGGTCATCATGTCGATAAGCTTGAACACCATGCGCCGCCATGCTGCTCGAAGTTTGCCCTTTGCCATCATCACAGTCGGGGGCATCCTTGCAAAAGCCTAAACCCTAAACCCTAAACCCTAAACCCTAAACCCCAAACCCCAAACCCTAAACCCTAAACCCTAAACCCTAAACCCTGCGGCTCGAGGCAGGCTTTTCCCTGCGCTGCTGCGGCGTCGCAAAAATCTTGGTCTTTTCTTCCATGCGGGGATGTCGGACAGCCAGTCTTTAGTGCCAACATTGAACTGCTGCTTGTGGCAAAAGGCTTTGGACCCGCCTGGCTTTTTCGGCAATGAAGAGGGCCAATCCCTGTCCTTGTCAGGAAGATGGTCAAATCTTCTCTAAACCCTAAACCCTAAACCCTGAACCCTAAACCCTAAACCCCGAACCCTAAACCATAAACCCTACATGCGGACTGACAGACCTCGCCGCTCGGCCAAGTAACGGGACTGTACACAAAACAAACCTTTTAAACCCTACAAAACCCTACAAACCTGCAAACCCAAAAAAAAACTTCTACAAACCCTACAGGCCCTGTAAGCCCTCTAATCCCTATAAACCCTATAAACCCTACAGATCCTACAAACCCTACAAGCCCTGTAAACCCTACAAACGCTACAAACACTATAAACCCTCTGTACCTTGTAAACCTGCAACTATAACCCTATAAACCCTATAAACCCTGCAAACCCTCAAACCCATCAAAAACCCTATAAACCCCATAAACCGCATAAACCCCATAGATCCTATAAACCCTGAAAGCCCGATCAACCCCAAACCCTAGCACTGAACCCTAAACTCCTAAGCCCTATAAGCCCCAAACTCCAAACGCGAAAACCCTAAACCCTAAACCCTAAACCCTAAACCCTAAAACCCTAAACCCTAAACCCTAAACCCTAAACCCTAAACCCTAAACCCTAAACCCTAACCCTAAACCCTAAACCCACAACCCTAAAAACCCTAGGTCAAGCGCCTGCACTGCATAGCGACTCACAGGCTCCAGATGCCTGTGGCGTAGCATAGGATGATTCCCCTGTGTGAGGTTTAGGGTTTAGGGTTTAGGGTTTAGGGTTTAGGGTTTAGGGTTTAGGGTTTAGGGTTTAGGGTTTAGGGCTGAGTTCAGCAAGTGATTTGGGGCTCTGCACGATATGAAGAGAATAGGCGGGCAGGGTTTCAGGTCGTTTTGCACCCTTTTTTGTGCACGCCGCACCTCCCCTAAACCTAATCGCCAAACCCTAAACCCCGAACCCTGTGCTTCCTGTGCGTCAAGATCTGACAGCGCCCACACGCCTGTTACTTTGCATGCTGCAAGGTTCAGCACCCCTCGCAGATTAAACCCTACATGCAATGTAGGGTTTAGGGTTTAGGGTTTAGGGTGTAGGGTTTAGGGTTTAGGGTTTCGGGTTTAGGCTTTAGGGTTTAGGGCCCTAGATGTCCCTAACGCTGAACCCACAGACCCTGAGGGCGGGCTCAAAAGCCTCTACTCTGGGCACCGAACAGCAATGCCTCTTGCGAAGATTGTGCTCCGCTCACCGGAGTGCTGTAGGAGCGTTAACAGGGTTTTGGAAGATTTTATCATATAAGTATAAATAAATAAATAAATAAATAAATAAATAAATAAATAAATATATATATATGTATATGTATATGTATATAATATAATATAATATATATATATATATATTATACATATATATATATATATAAAGGGGCCATAGGGGAATGCTAGTAGTAACTATTCCGACCCCCCCAAAGATTTCTGTGGAGGGCCTGCTGCCCGCTGGCAGCGGGCTTTGGCTCAGTGCCGTGCAGATAAGACGAGGAGAGTTGGGATGTCCCCCCTTATACAGGGTTTAGGGTTTAGGGTTTAGGGTTTAGGGTTAAGGGTTAAGGGTTTAGGGTTTAGGGTTAGTCCTTAAAAGTATGATGAAGGGGCGGGGGAGTACTGTAATCACTATAATCCCTTATAGGGAGGGGGGGGGTGTACTATAATCACCATAACCCCTGTTAAGTAAGGATGGGGTGGTACTATGATCTCCCCAAGCTTCCCTAGGATTCCCTAGGTACCTACCCGCCATGAACCCCCCCTCCCTTAAGAACCCCATAAAGACGATTTTATGATATCAAAAAGGTGTTGCCCACTGGCAGCCCCAAAGCCAGCATTACCCCAAAACCCTGGAACCCTATTCCATAGAAGGGTCTAGGGCCAAGGCTAGAAAGGGAAATGTTGTAGGTTCCTAAACCGAAACCCAGAACCCAAACCCTCAGCCCTACGTGAAGCTTTCATAGAGCAAGAGCCTCCCTCCAAGCAGACCCATAACTTCCCAAATGCCCAAGGCCCCCGAACTAACCAGGTTTGAGGGTTCAGGGCTTAGGGTACGGGACTCATACCTTGGACACCTCAGTCGTTCTACCCGTCGTGTTTTGGGTTTCGGGCTTATAGGGGTTAGGACTTGGAGAATGGGGTAAGGAATTTAGCGGTCGGACCCTTTTGAGGATTCTCAAAGGGGCCATATTCGCAACGTCTGAGGGGAAACACCTCAGGGGTACAAGTTTTCGGCCGCGAGCTGGGGAGTGTCTTGACCAAAGGCCCAAAACACCAAAGACTACAAAACCACTACGAAACTCAACCCTAACCCCCCGAAATCCACCCTAAACCCTAAACCCTAAACCCTAAACCCTAAACCCTAAACCCTAACCCCAAACCCTAAACCCCAAAGTCCCACAACCACAAGGTGGCCTCTGGCCGGAGATGGCTTGACCTTCTTCTTGCGGGTGTGGGGGTTTAGGGTTTAGGGTTTAGGGTTTGGGGTTTCGGGTTTAGGGTTTGGGGTTCAGGATTTAGGGTTTAGGGTTTAGGGTTCAGGGTTTAGAGTTCAGGGGTTAGGGTCCAAGGCCCCCAAGATGCGAAACCCTAAAAGCGGGCTTAGGGTTTTGGGGTTGGGGTTTAGGGTTTAGGGTTTAGGGCTTAGGGCTTAGGGTTTAGGGTTTAGGGTTTAGGGTTTTGGGCTTTGGGGTTGGGGTTTGTCCTGTTACCCTAAACCCCAACCCCTAAATCCTAACCTCGATTACCTGTAACCCCATGGGAGTCAGGGTCCAGAAACCAGCGCCTCAAGGACTGCCCCCAAACTCCCGTAAACCCTATAAACCCCAAACCCAGAACCTTATCAATCGTAGAAATCCAGCCATCCTTAAACCAAATTCAGGGTTTGCGGTTGGGGTTAGGGGTTTAGGCTATAAAGGCCGGTGGCCTCTTTATCTGTTACCCTGATACTCTAATACAGACCCAAGATACCCTAATAAGAACCCCCTACAAAACAGAAACCCTACTTCAAGAGACCACCAACCAGTATAAGGTTTAGGGTTTTTAGGGTTTAGGGTTTAGGGTTTAGGGTTTAGGGTTTTAGGGTTTTAGGGTTTAGGGTTTAGGGTTTAGGCCACAGTTGCCTATACTAATCTTCCTCCCGGAACTGGCAGATCCGTGCCGCTGCTTCCTCTGGCTGGTTCGTAGTAGGGAATGAGGTACCCTGTATAATCCCTTCAAGGGCTTAGGGTTTAGGGTTTAGGGTTTGGGGTTTAGGGTTTAGGGTTTAGGGTTTAGAGTTTAGGGTTTAGGGTTTAGGGTTTAGAGCCCTAACTCCCTCATTCCCTACTGATTAAGAACCAGGTGATCCAGCTGGATGTCCCTCGCCTGCCCCGCAAGACACAACTGCATGGGTTTGCCCTGACGCAGCTGGAACCTTTCATAAGGAAGGCTTCTGCAAAAGTACCGGGCAAAAGTTTGCCCGAACATCCAAACCCTAAAAAAAAACCTTAAAAAAAAACCCTAATCCTCTAAACCCCTAACCCTAGGCCCTACCAAAACCCTTAAACCCCGAAACATCCACACACCGGAGCGCCAAATGCTGAGCCCTGAAGCTCGGGCTACGCGTCGGTACGGTTTGGGGTTTTAGTGGGTTTAGGGTGTAGGGCTTTGGGGTTTGGAGGTTTTGGGTTAGGGTTTTTTGGTTTAGGGTATGGGGCGAGACCTGGCGCAAGACTGTCGCAGGGCAGAAGCTCACCGGCTTCTTTTCCGACAGCCACCCAATGGCCCAATGCTGCAAGCGGTGCTCGAGGAAGCCGTGCATCAGAGTGTTCTGGGCAGGTGCTGATGCGGGCGTTCAGCAGTGCCGCGTGCAAGCACTCCTTCTGACGCAGGACACGGAACGCAGCTTCCGTGGCTGTTGAGGCCCTCGGCAGACGTTTTTCAGCGCATGCCGTCTCCGCATCTTGCATCTTCCTCAGCCTGGTCTCCATGATGGCCTTCTATCGGCGAGGCCTCACCGTTTTGGGGATTGGAGGTGTTGGGGTTTTTGGGGTTGAGTTGGGGCTTTAGGGTTTAGTTTGGGGTTTTAGGGTTTAGGGTTCCTAAGGAAGGCCGGAATAAGTCTTGATTCGGCCTTTTGCAGCCTTAAAGACCCCAAGAGCTCTCGTGAACTGGAGCCGCTGCCTTCTGGCGATTGGGATGGGCGAGGTGGCAGAAGTCGCACAGGAAGGACTTTCCTTGGGATCGCGATCTCTTCGGGTTTGGAGGGGGGCAGGGGGGGGGGGCGGGGACCTCAGCGTTAGAAATAGCCTGATGCCCTGGAAAGCTAAAACCCTCGAGGGCTGAAGAGGATGGGGGCTTGAAAATTAGGGTTTAGGGTTTGGGGTTTCGGGTTTAGGAATTTAAGTCGAAATCTGGGGTTGAAGAGGTGACAGGCTCAAGGATTTCAGTTGCAGCCTGCTTTCTAAGGCTCAGGGTATCCAGCCAAACGCGCGACGCTTAGCCAGGGCCCATTGGGGTTTGGCTATAGTTTCAGGTGTTTGGGGAGGATTTTTGGATTTTGTAATTAGGCTTTGCGGAATAGGCTTCGAGAACCAAGAAGGCCTCTCACAAGAGTCTATCAACCTCTTTGCTGGGTGCAATCCAAAAACCCCAGAACCCCTAAACCCCAGAACCCCTAAACCCTAAACCCTAAACCCTAAACCCTAAACCCTAAACCCTAAACCCTAAACCCTAAACCCTAAACCCTAAACCGCGCAAGTCCTCAACCCAAAGCCCTTTTGAGTGGACGTTGGGTCGACTGGCCAAGCTGAGGCTGTTTCCTGGGATATACTCGGAGAAGCCCCAAAACCCCAACGATAAACCCCACAAACCTTAAACCCCGAAAACTTAGCCCGAAACCCAGAAACCCTAAACCCTAAACCCTAGACCCTTCAAAACCCTCCAAACCCTCCTACCCCCCAAAACCCAGTAGCCAGGCTTCTGCATCGCCCCGGCCGCTGTTCAAACATGCCTCAGGGCCGCGGTTTAATTAGGGTTTAGGGTTTAGGGTTTAGGGTTTAGGGTTTAGGGTTTAGGAGCCTCTCGGCCCGAGCCTACACGTGGCGAGGTCGTTGGGGGAGGTAGAACCACCTCCTTTGCAAATCGGGCCATGATTCGACTGCCGCTGATTTCTCTTTACTCGTTAAGGTCCTGCTTATGCCATTCAGAATCTACCGCATGCTTGGTTCAGCTGCGGCCTTTGGGGTGGTTGGTGCTACAGTTTCAAGGCTTTCTGCGTTCCGCGACGTGGCAGTTGCTACGACTTCGAGTACGAGGACGGCTATACTGGCTATACGCGGTGTGTGGAGTTTTGATGCGGGCCAGCCCTATGCTGCCACAGCTGCACCTACAGTTTCCGAACCATGATTTTGCTGTGGCTTACGCACTTGCGGGCCCCAACCTGGCAGCTGATTCAAGACCATGTCCTTGCAGTGGGTCGGCGCTCTGCTCTTCTCCAGATGTCAACTGCTACGGCTTTCAAGACAGCAATTGCTCCAGCCTTGGAGGCAAGCATGTTCCCTCGGTTGTTGGTGACGCGGCGACGGCACGGCTTTCATGGCGGCATTTTGCTGCCGGTCAGCTACTTGCAATTCCCGAAGGGGCAACTGTCAGGACCTGCAGGGCCGGGACTATGACGCGTGACATTTGCCGGAAGCAACCTGCGCATGTCTGCAGCCATGACGGCCTTTACAGCGCACGCAACCTACCCAATCGAGAATTTGTCGGCCAGATTTCCGAAAAAAATGAGGTCTTGATGCCAATGGCTACACTGTCCAGCTTCGTCCTGCCTGGTCCGATGAGCGAGGCTGCGCGATGCGGCTTAGCACTGTAGTGAACGGGCATGCCGATTTTGAGCGGTGTGACAGGTGTATTTTCTGGTTTTCGCCCAACGCGGCCCAATGTTTGTTGCTGCCGAACACGTGGCAGTACCGTGAGCTAGGGGCCATTTGTGGCTCCACCCATGTCGAATGTCAGCTAGATGTCCACTGGGGCCTCCCGGCAAACGCCAATAAGGGTGGTTGCGCGATGCGGCCACTGCTTTGTAGAGCCTTGCTGTTCGCCGCGGATCGGACACAGGAGGCCCGGCGTCGCCGCTTCAGGCTGGCCCGGGTGCTCCTCACTACCCGCTAAAGGTTTAGGGTTTAGGGTTTATAAGGTTAAGGTTTAAGGGTTTAGGGTTTGGGTCGCGCTTTAGGGTTTAGGGGTCTCAGGGCTCCTCGGGATTAGGGCTTAGGGAACGCTAAACCCTAAATCCTAAATCCTAAGCCCTAAAGCCTAAACCCTAAAGCCTAAAGCCTAAAGCCTAAAGCCTAAAGCCTAAACGCAAAACCCTAAAGCCTAAAGCCTAAAGCCTAAAGCCTAAAGCCTAAAGCCTAAAGCCTAAAGCCTAAAGCCTAAAGCCTAAAGCCTAAAGCCTAAAGCCTAAAGCCTAAAGCCTAAAGCCTAAAGCCTAAAGCCTAAAGCCTAAGCTGCTAAACCCCAAGAACTTTGAGGTCCCCAAAGCCGACGGTCGAGTGCTAAAGAAGCTAGGACCCCCTGAAGAAGGGGGACTCTGGTGAAGGCTCAGGGTAGCATTACCCTCGGGTTTAGGGTTTAGGGTTTAGGGTTTAGGGTTTAGGGCTCATGCGGTGGAAGTGTGAGAGCCCTCTTGAAACGCCCGTCGCTGAGTGCCCCCGGCATGGTCGGCAGTTCTGCAAGGGCTGCCTGCGCCAAACTAGCCGGAAACTACCCTAAACCCTAAACCCTAAACCCTAAACCCCAAACCCCAAACCCTACTCCTGCATGGAGACAGGGTGTGTTCAGGAATTTGTCCTGCAAGTTTTGCAAAAAGACTTCCCGAAATGAAAATTCCTTTTTTGGGGTTTAGGGTTTCGGGTTTAGGGGTTTGGGATGCTTAGGGTTTGCAATAAAACTGGCCCGGCTATTCAAAGTACCCCGAGAGGGGCCATGATCTACACTTTCTTCTGGGTAGAGAGTCTAGGTTGCCCAGTAACCTAGGATTCAAAAGGGCGCCCTTTTTTGCTTACAGAGGCTTATAAGGGAACCGAGACCCCCCAAAAAGGGAATAAGGGCACTACTGGGCATCCCAGAGAGTGAAAAGCTCGGGATAGGTCTCGTCCACCAGACAGAACAGAAGTCTCTGCGGAGGGCGCAGGCTTCAGCGTAAGGGTGGAGGGTTTAAAGCTTATGGCTCTGAACCCTAAACCCTAACACCCTAAACTCTAAAACCCTGAAACCCTAAACCCTAAAACCCTAAACTAAACCCTAAACCCCTAAACCCTAAACCCCAAAACCCTAAACCCTAAAACCCTAAACCCTAAAACCCTAAAACCCTAAAACCCTAAAACCCTAAAGCCCCAGAGCCCTAAAACCCTAAAACCCTAAACCCTAAACCCTAAAACCCTAAACCCCAAGCCCTAAATCATCAAGGACAACGGGTCCGGAGTCCTGGTTTGCAAGTGCGACACAGAGCCGAAGGAGAGCCTGGGTGCAGGGTGTAGGGTTTTGGGCTAGGGTTTAGGGTTTAGGGTTTAGGGTTTAGGGTTTAGGGTTTAGGGTTTAGGGTTTGGGGTTTGGGGTTTGGGGTTTGGGGTTTGGGGTTTGGGGTTTGGGGTTTGGGGTTTGGGGTTTGGGGTTTGGGGTTTGGGGTTTGGGGTTTGGGGTTTGGGGTTTGGGGTTTAAGGGATAGGGTTTAGGGTTTAGGGCTTGGGGCTTAGGGCTTGGGGCTTAGGGCTTGGGGCTTAGGGCTTGGGTTGAGGGTTGAGGGTCCAGGGATTAGGGTTTGAGGGTTTTAGGGTTGGCAAAGGGACCCTCACGTGGAACGACCCCCACGTGGGTGCGCTAATTTTTGCACATACGGGTGCAGCATGGTTTATTCAGTGCATTGTCTTACGAGCGGAATCGGTTAGGCCAGATTTCCTAAGCCTTACACCTGAACCCTAGGCCATAGAGACTCTCTACCTTCTGATAGAGAGCCCGAAAGAAGCGAAAGATCTCCTTGTGGACCCGAAGGCGAGTACAGGACTGCGAGACCCATAAACCTCCCAACCTACATCTGGGGGTTTCCGAAAATAGGGGGTACCCTCCCTTTAAGGGGATTCCATTCTATTTGGGGTGTAGAAGGGGTACCCCTATTTTTTGGGGACATCGCACCTGAACATCACTAGACCCGACACGCCAAGGGCTGGAAGCAAGTAGCCCCACAATCATCTCAAAAACCCCGAGTCGGGGGTGTAAAGTTGGCAGGGCTCTAAACCCTAAACCCTAAAAACCCCATAAACCCTATAAACCCTGAGAAACCCTATAAACCCTATAAACCCTATAAACCCTATAAACCCTATAAACCCTATAAACCCTAAACCCTATCCCTAACCCTGAACCAGATCCGAGGTGGTCGCGGGGCATTTTGGCGGGCCGCCTTCAAACGTAGGGCGTCGCTGACGGCGAGGCCTCGTTGCTGACAAAACCCTAAACCCCGAAGTGGAATTAGGGTTGGGGCTTAGGGCCCTTTAACCCCGAATGGATCCAAATGGTGCGTGTGTAGAGGTGTGTGTGTGTGTGTGTGTGTGTGTGTGTGTGTGTGTGTGTGTGTGTGTCTGTGTGTGTGTCTGTGTGTGTGTGTGTGTGTGTGTGTCTGTGTG